CTGAATAGGAGCTATTCAGCTATTACTCTGTTTTTCATGTACTAAATTCACTTCTAGCTATTGTGAAAGAAGGAAATTAGTAGACAGAGTTGCTCCCCTGTGGTGTGACAGTGGGAAAGGACTGAAAAGACATGAATTTGCTACTTCTGCTGTTTATGAAGACAGACTTTTTTTCTTCATGTTGTGTATTAAGTTTTTAAAAAGGTAAATTGGGACATACACATTAGCTTCATTGACATGAAATCGCACAGCTTAAGACTTTGGCCCTGAGACTGTAAACACTCTGAAACTTCACATTGCATCAGAGCTGCAATAGTCAGAAAATTTATTTCCTTTTCTCCATGTGTGAATCTCAGTAGCTTGATCTTTGGTAAATGTTAAGAGTGGGGTTTAATTTTGCATTTCCAGGCTCTCATGTACCTTCCACTTTAACCATCTTCAGACATGGCTGCTGGCAGAGTTTTACCATGTACTAACATTAACACACTGATAAAAAGAAGGAGCACAGTACATGCTTACAGACTTGCCCTAAATAGGCAAATGTAACCTTTCTGCTGATAATGCAGTCCATAAGGAATAAAGGTAAGCAGTGTAGATTACAATGGCAGGGGGAACAGGGGTGTGCACTGCTCTATCAGTAGGGTGCAGGACTCTACCTTCTGGTGAGGGAGAGTAGGGAAATGAAGGTAAATTCAAAGATTTGGTTGTCCACCTAGTATGACAAATAGAAACTGGTAAGGTGGAGTTGTTTGTTTGTTAATAAGTACTACAGCTTCCTTGTCAGTTCTGCTTGCTGGAGCTCTTTGCTTTTCCAGGAGTCAGCAGTACCTACCAGTGGCTGGAGCCTTTCTAATGGCGAGACTTGGGGTGATCCAGTGGGGTGAAATCACAAAGATGGCTGGTTTCTGGATGCTGTAATATTGCATGTGCTCCCATAGCTAAATAAAGCAGATCTGCTGATGTTTTGCTTTCCCCAGCTCAGCTCCAGCTGCACTCCCTGCAAGGAAATTAAGCACCAGGGTGCTCCCTCTAGAAAAGTGATGGGTAGTTCTTGGGGACAGACAGTGAATCGCAAGAGGTACCCTGGCTCTAGAGCAATGTCTGGGTTTAGTTACAGCCCAGGAGGTATCTAGGTTTGCACCCCTACTTGTGTGGTGACCTCAAAATCCCAGGCCCGGTTCGAGGGAGGCTGTAAGTGCAAGGCAGAGTCACAGCTGCTGTGCCTGAAAAGCAGACTCAAAGGCTTTCCCTGTGGGAACCTTCCCCAGCTCCAGCCAACTCACTTAGGAGAAAAACAAAGCCCTCTTGGCAGCCACAGGACTTCAAATTTATTTTCTTCCTTTTAACAACTTCCTTCAGTTTGCCACCAGTAACTTTGAAGTCCAAAGGCTCTTGGAAAAAACTACTAGCTCCTTCCCAGTCTCACGGGTGGCATGCATGCCAAGAAGCGCAGTCAGCTCTCCCCTGGCAGCACTTCTCCCGGCAAGCTGCTGGCAGCTTTCCTTCCCGACTGCCTGCCTGGACAATAAAAGGGGCTGCTCCCTGACCTCCGCCGGCGGCGGTGTCCCGGGATGTCTGGCTGTGCCATGCATGCTCCATCAGGCAGCACTGCAATGTATTTTCTTTGCCGGGAAAGCATCTGGCATGTGTCTGGGAGCACTCGCTGCACCCCTGTTAAGGGTCAGCGATGTCTGTGTCATGACTGCCGCTGTGGTCCTTGTCACCACGCCTGTTGTGGCCATTGCAGCACGCAGCTTTCGTGACACATGCTGACGTGATGCTTACGCCCCAAATCCAGTGCGGGTTGTATCCTGTTTCCCAGCAGGGTTTGCAATGCTTCCACTGTGCTGCCTGCGGAACTCCTCGGTGCCATGTGAGAGAGCACGGACATCCTTGGTGCACAGCAGGCGATGGCAGGCCTCACATTTCCTTGACCTCCATACGAGTCACTGTAGACGAGCCCTGCAAGCTCTACAAGGAAGACTCACAGCCTACCCACCTGCTTACATCCTGGGTGATAATTGCGTTTGTTTTTTTCTCTGGGCCCCTCTATGATTTTTCCACCCTGTGGACCCAGCACAGTCCTGCATTCACCACTGCTCGGAGCTTTTCCAGGCCTTGGGCCAGGGCTTCTACCTCGACCCGGTGTGCCTGCATACCGGGTTGAAAACCCCCACTTTTCGGGACAACAAAACAACCCAAGTCCTGAACACGCGGAGACAAAAACCCGTGTGCAGGGCAAAGGCTAGTGCCGCCGGCAGCCCCGCTGCTGCTGCCTTGCTTCGCCTAGGTGAGGGGCGGTGGTACTAAACCCTCTTCCCTCTGAATTCAGAGAATTTAAAACGGACTTAAATGTATTTTGAGGAAAACTTGACTGGAAACAGTCCTGATCTCCACCCCGCCCCCCGCCTCTTACCGTGTATTTTTTTCCCCCCTTTTCCCTCTATCCCCCCTCAGAGCCCGCCCCGGCTCAGCCGCCCTCAGAGGCGGACCCGCGCGCGCTCGCTCGTGGGCCCCCCCTCCGCCTGTGCCCGCAGGCTCCGTGTCAGCGCTGGCTTCACCGGCGCCGTGCCGCGCGCGCGGAGCCTTCCGGCCGCGCTTGCCCAAAGCCAAGATGGCTCTGCTCGTTTCATCTCGCCCTTCGCCGACATGGAGGCCTCGGAGCGGGAGCGTGCTGCCCAGGCCTGTTGTCTGCCGCCCGGTAGCGGGGAGGACGGCCTGAGGGGGGCTGTGGGGGTACGGCCCGGCCTGGGGCAGCGCTGGCGTGCTTCTAGCTCTCCCCTTATTCCCCTCCACGATGTTTTGCTGTCCGTGGGGTGCTACAGCCTGCTGTTCCCCTCAGAAAGTGACGCGGGGGTGGAGGTGGCAGCCGTGGAGAGGCCGCGGGAGGGTTCTGGCTTTGTGGGGTCCCGGCTTGCCCCAGGCCTGGGATGTGCTGCCCTGTGTTGCTCTTGTTTCCCTTTGCTGCCGAGGGAGCAGTTGTTGAAATAACGCATGTCTTTGCCTGCAGGAATGGGGGGAAGAAATGAGACTGCGAGGAAGAGAACTCCCTCTCCTGTGCCCTCCAAAACCTGTCGAGTGGGGCAGTGAGTAAGAGCAGCGCCTTGCACCCACCGACGTGCCCATCTTGCATCCCACAGCGTGTGGTTGACCTGGCGTGTTTGCTTGGGACCAGCAGTGTGTGTTTGGGAAAGTCCGGGTAGCAGCATAGTGCCACCTGTCAAGGGTGGCCCGGAGGAAAATCCAGTTTCTTCCTGAAAGTGTGTTTGTGCTGGTCGCTCACTGAAAACAATGAGGTAATGGCAGAGGGTGGGAAACAGGATTTGGGTTTCGTGGGTCTGTGGCTTGCTCCACACACTGGGTTATGTGTGGAGCTCTCTTAAAAAACATTTCCTGGTCGAGGTTTGATGCAGCACAGGCTATCGGTGGTGGCATTAAAGCACCACTAGATAAGCCTGTTGGGGAAATACCTGTTCCTCCACAGGAGGGAGGGAAGGATGCCAGCTGTGATTTGCTTCTTTGCTTTACGGGTTTTGAGTAAACAGCCCATCTGGCAGCTTCTTGTAAAGAAATTCTTGGCTTTATTTCTAGAGTGTACCAACCCCTTTCCAGGAGGTGTCCATTGCTGTCAAAGGGTATTACTAGATGGTGCTATTTCTGATTCCTAGAAAAAACTTTTCTCTGTACCAGACCCAACAAACAGTGATATAGGTGATGAGTGACTGTTGACATCAGTTAGCATTTGTGCTTTGGAAGGTCACACTATCCGTCAGCCCAATCAGCTGATGCAGAGCATGTAGCCGAACTGTTTGTTTCATTCCAGCAAGCTGGGATTGACAAACCATGAAAGAAGGAGGGGATCCTGAAGCCATAACAGACTATTCACTCTCGGACTGTGTCCAAGGGGACTGCTTCCGCATCAGTGCTGTTCCCAGGTTTGGCACAGAGGTAATAGCGTGTGTGTCTCATATGCTGAAGGCTCAGGGCCAAGCTGAGGTCTTGCTTATCCTCACAAACAAGTCTCACCGTCGGTTTTGGCAGTAGTACTGCTGTATACTTGACTTAGGAGGACTAGAGGGAGCTGATCCAAGGGGAAACGTTTTCTTTTTTAAAAAAAAAGGTGATTTGTTTTATATGAACCTGATCATCACATGGCTGCACATATTATTAGCCCTGTTGTGGCAATACGAGGAAGGAGGTCAGCACAGGCAGCTCACAGAGACAGCCAGGATCACAGCAGCCCATATCAACGACAGCCTTAAGCTGCTGTGGTGCCACACCAGCAGCTCCTGTAACCTCCCACCTGGCCTTGGAGGGATAGGATTGGTTGGGGTTTTGGTGTGGTGGTTTTTTTCCAAACCAAGGACTGAAATAGGCAGTTTTGTTCTCTAAAATATTCATGTACTTTAAAAGTAGCACAAATCGTGAAAACAGTATTTGAAGAAAGTTTCTTCTTTGTGTTCCTTACGCACAGATCATCTGTGTTTCGGGACGTGAAGAGCAATGGAGGAGAAGCTTCCCTCTGAAGTGGCGGTTTGGGGGCAGGGTGTTGTGTACTTTGTTTTGATTTTAGCCTTCCATTCTGTTTTTCCTGGAAAGTTTCTGTAAATGTGCTGACCTTGCTTGTCCCCTCCTCCCATATCACAGCCAACATCTCCACTCTGTTTATTAGTAAGTTAGTCAGCATTCTGCCAAGGTCGGAGGTGCATCTTAGCTACAAGTGTACTCAACACAGAAGCACCTAAGGAATTCTGTTTAAAGGAAAAAAAAATATCGGGGGTATTTGCTTAATATTTCAGTACTAATCCCTCCAAGGGATTTCTTTGTCCTCTGTGGCTGTCACGTTCCTCACTGACAATAACCCCTGAGAGAGAGTATGTTGCCTTCTTTGTTTTATAGAAGAGGAAATAAATGTGAACCTGCAGGGTCCCAAGCTATTGCCTGACCACTGGATCTGATTCCTCTGCTCTGTTACTCTTCACCAAAATAGCAGAAGGGTACCGCTGGTGGAGCAGGCAGCACAGATAGCCACAATCTGCTTTTTTTGTTGCATGTAAGTAGACAAAACAGACAAAGGAAGAAACTTGCACAACATCTCCTGTAGCCTCAGTAAGAGCTGGGAACTAAATTCATATTTCACAAGAAACACTCTTCTTCTGCCTGTGGTTTTTCCATGAAAAGCATCTGTTGTTTGAGTGAGGGGAGAAAAACCATGATGTCAGCTCACATTTACCTCACTCAATCTCATCATCAGTGTTCACTGGGTGTTCAAGGGAAGCTCCTGCCTGAAAGTCCTTCTGGCATAAGACGTTGCAGTAAGTATTTGGGTCAGTTCTTCCTCAGTTTGGTGTTGCTGGAGGTGTGAGCTGAAGTTCAATAGTGCTCTTCTCAGAGTCTTTACTGTTAGTGGAGAGTCTCAGCTGCCTCACAAGTGGTTGTGCAGGGTGGCCAAAGGCTAGTGGTTGATATAGCGGGTAGAAACTCAGGTTGTTTGGGGCTCTTTGCACCTTTCCTTGCAGATGTCTTTCCTTGAGAGCCCCTCTGACTGAGTCAGTGCTAATCATGCTTCAACCCAAGGATTCCTACTTGCTCTCACCATTTGTAATTCTGTGAGCTCCTGCCCCCACCAAGTTTTTGCCTTTCACTCCTCTCCTGCCCCAGACACTTGTGTGGCTGTGCTTCTTGTTGCTGGACTGGAACACTTTAGTTTCATCCTTTCCAAAAGAGTTGCCCATCCACTGTGGCCTTGGTGCTGGGTAGCGCCAGCCCTGGCCTGCTCTCAACCCAGCTGCATGTTCCAGCCCTTTGAGGTGGTGGGCTGGTTGAGGGAGCTCAAGAGGAGGGTGTTGGGATGTGGGATGCTTCAACCACAGCTTTCTAAAGTACTGTGCACAGGATATACAACACAGCTGCCCTAGTGTCTCCACACCAGGAAATCCTTGTCATCCCTGTGATATTGAGACTACTGAGTTTTAAGATGCTCTTTCCTTCAGCTAGTGAGCCTGATGAGCTTCCTGAACTGAGCCAGGAGGGATGGGTTTAACTTGTAACTTGTAGAACCATCAGTGGAAAGGGACCCTATAGAACATATTTCCTTTTAAATTGCACATGTAATATACCCTAAAGGGAATGTACTCCATAGCTTTCTAGTTTTGGGGTCTGAATCTGTACTTCTGGGAAGCCTCTAGGAAAGCTAGATTTGTTGTGGACTCCTGGTTATCGTAGGACTGAGGGCTGTTGTGTGTGGGTTTTGCTGTTGTTCTTTGTTTCCATCATTAAATTTGCTCTTACTTTCTTAAATGAAGTACGAATATGCTATAACAGCTTCTCACAGCTCATAAAGCAGTGCAAAAATGCTGTATCATTTGTGTTGACTTCTGCTTACATTTTCATACTCTAAAAATCCAGCTCAGTCATATTTGTGTCTCTGCAGTGGGACCATGGAAGGAAGAGAGATGTCACCAAGTCATCACTCTGAGGACAGCAGCGTATTGGACCTACCCTCTGTTTGTGACTTGGCAGAGCGCTTTCTGCCTCCACACAGCTCTGAAAACAGCAAGGAGCTTTTTTGCTCTGTGGATACTTTTCCCTCTCAACTGACAGGTAACAGTTTCTGCCTCTCCATGTGCTCTTTGTTTAGCCAGTGCATTATCTACTTAGACAGTGTGTCATTTGACTGAGTAACCACAGCCTGATACTTGTCTTAAAACACAGTTTGCCAGAACTACAGTGTGTTCCAGTGTGATGGATACAGTGTGAACTGTGGATCAGTGAGACACAGGAGAAGAGTTCAGAGGATACTGTCAGCTGCTAATGTTTTAGTGTGTTCTCAGAGAGTTACTTGAATTAACCCACAGAGCAATCCTCCAGACATCAATAGGAAACACTGTTTCAAATTACCATTATCAGTAAGAAATGTTTTTAAACTTTTCCTTATGTTCTTCCTGTGCTCATCGTGCATCTTCCAGTCATGAGCTCAGGATGTGGCCTCTGTAGCTCGTTACTTTAGAATTATAACAGCGAATATTTGTTTATGCTAATGACATGAGTGTGAGGAGAACGGCTTCAGTCCATCTCTTGGGAGACAGCAGTTTTCTCACTTCGAGGAGGACTGATTACTGCAGAAGCAGGGTTTTAGGTCAGCCACTACTCCAGATTCTTAGGAGTAATAGTGTATCTGAGAAGATCAAGGGATAGCTGACACATTCGGATTACTACACCCCTCAGCCCAGTCAGTGTAAATGTGTGTCAAGAAGTGTGAAATCAAAATGCACTGGACCAGTGACACTTCTTGTTATATATTCATATTGGCTGGCCTGAAGTTTGTAGTAATTAAATTTAATATTGTGGGGGGAAAGTAAAATCTGATCAGCACATGATGTGTGGAGATGTTTTGTCAAGGCACCTGAACACGGGCAACATCACTGATGACATTTCTGGTTGTTTTGGAGTCTTAAGTAGTGTAAAGGTAGAGTTTGGCTTATCTTCCTCTGGCACTGGGTGTTTTACTTCAGTCTGGTTCTAAGAAGTTAGCTTGGAATTCGATGGGTGAGTTTTTTCAGTGGGAATTCCACTCTTTTGCACGCTAAATGGGTAAGCAGTGGGATTTACCAACTAGCATAGCTTTGTTGATGTTGACTACTTGTCTGCACAGTTGTCTTAACCTCTAATTGTGGGACATCCAGAACGGTAATGAAATCTGCAAACAGTAAATACCAATCCTTGCTTTGTTTTTCCTATGCAGACCAGGAAGTCACATTATGCTACTAATGATGCAAATCTTCTACTGTAAGCTCTACTTTAAACCATGATACATATCGCATTCCATGATCCATATTGCATTAGAGGAATAGTGTATCTGGTTTGAGGTTTTGCTTTATTTTTTGTGCATAAGAGTGGTGGCCAGCACTACGAGGAATGTCCTGAGTGAGCCTCTTCTGCTGTCCTGGGAGAAGAGGAAGGGGAAGTTCCTCTAACAGTGTCCTTCCAGACAGGCTGGAAGGCTTTGTCTACTCTGATTTCACAAACCCTTTGTTGCAGGTATGAAGAAATTCAGGGAGCTGTGAGGCAGTTCCTGCAATGTGTGTAGGGCAGCTTAGTTGCTCAAACACCATTTAGCGTGGCTCAGGGCAACTGGACTTGATTGTGACAAATGGGATGCACAGAAGAACTGCATGACCACTCAGCAGACCTAAGACTGGTCTGAGGCATAGCGGCAGTGACATATGTGGAAATGAAGGTAGGCAGCTCTAAACCCAAATGACAGCATTGGGCAAGTCATTTATGGTGCATGTGTGGAATAGCTGAAGTTCAGTACCAAGGTATGCTGAGAGGCCAGTCTTCGGTCCTTGCTGTCTCCAACACCCCCTGCTGTCAGCAGGGGTTCCAGGGGTGCTGAGGAGGACAGATTAGGCCTATGAACCCTCTCCTTCATTGCTTGTTTTAGAGGCCCCTCGCAACTGAATCCGCTTGCCAGCAATTGTGCGATGCATGCTCTAAAATGGTTCCTTACCCTGGGCTTCTGGGAGTGAAATAACCAAATACCACATCGGATCCAGTTTGTGCTCTGAATATCTTGATTTCTTTCTCATAGCATCCTCAAACCAATTTACATACTCAAACTCTCTTTTTTGATGCAACTTCAGCTTTCTAAGCCATTGAGTTTGGTCATTATGGCAGAAGAGGCAGGAGGATGGTCTTGGACAAGCAAGTTCTGTCAAAATGTATCATGGGAAAGGAAGCTTATTTGCTTGTTTATTTTCTTGTGAGACATTGTAAACTGCTGCTATGACACAAGATAAATTAGGAGGGCAGGGGTGCCTATAGCTTGTACCCCACAGTATGACCAGAAGATTACGTCCTGGGGCTTGGGCAGGATGGATGATGAGTCTTCTCATCAAACTTCAAAGGTTTTTGTTAGGGGTGAGGATCTTCCTTAGTGATTCAAAAGCATTTCCAAAAGGCCACTAGGTCTCTGGGAATGTGACAGCTTCCTTAAGAAAGAAGCAGACTGGCAGGACAGACTGTGTTTTCTGACATTTGTCACATGAACTGGACTGAGACTGACTAAAATACCATGCTATCTGAGTCTCAGGAGTTGGAAATGGATATGGAGGTATTCCTGGTGCCTGAGTCGCTTGTAGTAGGTTGTATTAGTCTAGAGAGGCTCCGTCACTTGTAATAGCAGCAGATAGTTCCCATTAGGCATGAATGGCTAATGGGTGCTTTTGGGGCCTTCTGAAAGCAGACATCCCTAGGCAAGGAAACAGTAGTTCCGTGGGAATGCTACTAAATGTCTAAGTTATGTATAAATGAGTGGTTTTACAATTTGTGTGGGAGTGACGGTTCTGCTCTTGCCACAAACATGCATACTTTTAGCTTATTGTCATAGTGAATCAAGTGTTTAAGTGGCGATGGACTGAGAAAATTAAATTGTATCTGTGAACATTTCGATATGCTTCCCTTTTTTTTTTTTTAACTCCATACTGGAAAAAATAATAAAATAATCAGTTGTTTATAGTGTTTCTAATCTGCATCACTCAGTTGCACAATGCTGCAGCAACACCTTACTACTTCCTTTGGATGAAGAAAAGTTGCCAGCAAAAGTTCGTGCTTGGCAGTGCTCAGATACATGTGTGGGTGGGGAAGCCATAAATTATTTGGATTAATACTTGAAAGGTTGTTTCCAATGAAATAAGTCACTGGCAATGCTCCTTTTTCTTGTAGGGCAGTGAACCAGAGCCGGGGACAGTGGTAACATAGTCTTTACCTGGAAAAATTGCAGTCTGAAAAAGGGTTAGAGAATAGACTACAGACATGCTCTCCAGATTGGTGCCAGCAGGGTTCTGGGCTCTGCCCATGCTCTGTGGTCTGGCAAAGCCAGGTTTGCCAGCGCAGCCCTTGAGTGATTCTACCAAGCTTGGAGGCAGTGTTGGAGAGCTCAGCGGTGGCACCACGCTTGCTAGACTGCCTGTCAGAAGCATGGGCACAGCTCAGCACCGTGTGCTAGCTGTCTTGGGTGGGTGGGTCTCCTTGTTTGTCCTGTAGCTTCTCCCTTAACCACTTTTTCTTTGGAATGAAAAGTCATTTAAAAGCTGTGTCCTTAGAAAAATGGATGGGTAGGCAGGGTCACCCAGTGGAAGAGGAAGGTACACTGAAAATGTAGTGTCACAGGAAAAGAGAAAATAGAGGAAGGATGGCAGTAGGAGAGGAGGGATGATACTGGAGAGACTGGGTGGTGGAGGAAGACAGAATTCACTCTGTGATTGGAGAGGCCTGTGTGTATCTAAAAGCTGGCTCGCTTTTAAAAAAAAATTAAGTAGTAAAAGCCGGTTTGGGAGGATAGAGGTGTTCAACCTCTAGTTGACTTGCCAAAAGCGCTGCTTCTGTTCCTGCAATTTGCTTCAGGTTTGAGCCCAGGCTTACCTTTGGTTATTTTCCATGGACTGCCCTGACCTCTCTAATGTAGCGAGAGTCCCAGGCTGCCCCTGACCGTGCTTCTTATTCCTGCTCCGTCCTTAGCGCTGGTACTCAGATGGCCACATGAGGAGTCAACTCAGGGAATTGGCCCGGCTTGCTGGGCAGCCACGTGAATAGTTGTGTGAACGAGACAGGGACAGCTGCTCTTTCTGGCAGCAACACGGGTATATTCCAAGATACAGCGGTGTGCAACGTGTCCTGTCTTTGATATGGGCTTTCAGTCTTTCCAGAATGGTGGTTTCTGGAAAAAGGAGTCTTAGAGTATTAATCGCTTTTCCCTTGTGGAGAGCCAGGCTGTAGGTTCTTTTTGATCAGTCACAGTTTTTGTAGGCTTCCTTCAAAAATAGTCCATTTGGAACACATCCTGAGAGCCTGGGGGGAAATGGAGCAGAACCATTTCACTGGAGACTCACTGGGCCCAGTGAGTCTGGGCCACGGCACTGCTGCTGAAATTGCTGCTCAGATCAAGAGGACACTTGATCACAAGATTATCCCAGTTTAAAAATAAAAAACATCATGATTTTTGGACTGTTCCAGTTTCTGTCCAGGTTTTCAGTCAACCAAGCATGTACGTTACACAAAGCAGAGGTTTCCAACCTATTAACACAGCTGTCAGTTCTATAGGCAACTGGGATTCCTCTGAAAAAAATGCTACACATACCCAGGGAATTTGCATGCCTTTGGTTATTTTCCATGGACTGCCCTGACCTCTCTAATGTAGCGAGAGTCCCAGGCTCTTGCAGTGGGTTGCTATGTCTTTTATTAGCGACTGAGGAGTCACGCTAATGTTGGTGCACGTGTGCTGACTTGTCCTTAAATGCTCTCTTCTGTTTACCATGTCCACTTGCCTGTCAGGAGTTGCTTAATTTCTTTTGCAGAAGCATGTTGTGTTTACTGAAGAAGTCTGGTGTGGCTTGTGGTTTTTCTGTATAGGAGTTGTGCACAAGTGCTGACGTAGAAGCTGAAAATGAAAGGAGCAGGCTGTACTTGTCATGTCAGCAGCAACCTTTCAGGGCTGGCACTTGGTTTGTGCTCGGAGATTCACTTCAGCCCAGAACTCAGCATATTCATTCAGTGCTTGGTATAGAAATTATAGCTTGGCCATCTGAGCTACCACGGCTATC